ATAACTCTTTCAGTCTCTTTTCCTTCTGCCATTCCCCATCTTTTTCTTTTTTTTTTTTTAAGATAGCATCTCACTCTGTTGCCCTTGCTGGAATGCAATGATAGCTCAATTGCAGCCTTGAACTCCTGGGCTCAGGTGATCTTCCCACCTCAGCTTCCGGAGTATTTAGGACCACAGTTATTACCACGCTCAGCCAATTTTTAAAAGTTGCTTGAGCTGGGTGGAGTGGCTCATGCTTATAATCTTAGTACTTTGGGAGGCCAAGTCAGGAAGATCTCTTTAGCCCAGGAGTTTGAGACCAGCCTGGACAACTTAGGGAGACCCCATTTCTGCAAAAAATTAAAAAATTAGCTGGGCATAATAGTGCATGCCCGTAGACCCAGCTATTCAAGAGAGGAGGTGGGAGGATCACTTTGAGCCTGGGAGATTGAAGCTGCAGTGAGCTGTGACACTTCAGCCTGGGTGACAGTGAGACCTCTTTTCTAAAAATAACAACAACACACACAACCAAAACATATATTTGTAGAGATAGAGACTTGCTATGTTGTCCAGGCTGGTCTCAAACTCCTGGCCTCCAGTGATCCTTCCACCTCGACCTTCTGAAGTGCTGGGATTATTAGCATGAGCCACCATGCCTGGCCTACATTTCTCAATTCTCTTCTCCTTCTGTTCCAATGCATAAACACTGCCATCCACCAGGTTGCTCAGGTCAGAAACCTAGGAGTCATTCTAGATTCTTTCCTCTCTTCATCACCCATATTCAGTTCCACGTAAAATCCCATGAGTGCTGTTTCCTCAAATCAGTTTTTTAAAATTTGAGTAATGTATAGATACTAAATATTTCTCTGTAATCCCAATGTTAAATTATTTATTTATTTGTTTGTTTATTTGTTTATTTATTTATTTTTGAGACAAGTTCTCACTCTATTGCCCAGGCTAGAGTGCAAGGGCACGATCACAGCTCACTATAGGCTTGAACTCTTGGGCTCAAGTGATCCTCCCGCCTCAGCCTCCTGAGTAGCTGGGACTACAGCTATGTACCACCATAACTGGCTAATTTTTTATGTTTTGTAGAGATGGGATCTCACTATATTACCCAACCTTTTCTTGAAGTCTTGAGGTCAAGCAGTGCTCCCACCTTGGCTTCCCAAAGTGCTTGGATTACAGGATTAAGCCACCATGCCTGGCAAAAATTATTTTTACAAAATGTGTGCGTGCAAACACAAAACTAGATGTACATTTCATAGGCTGTTGTACTATTGTAAAACAAACATTAAAAATATCAACAAAAGGCTGGGTGCAGTGGCTCACGCCTGTAATCCCAACACTTCGGGAGGTTGAGGTGGCCAGATCACTTGAGATCAGAAATTCAAGAACAGCCTGGCCAACATGGTGAAATCCTGTCTCTACTAAAAAAGCAAAAATTAGCCAGGCATGATAGTGCATGCCTGTAATCCCAGCTACTAGAGAGGCTGGGTGAGGCAAGAGAATCGCCTGATCCGGGAGGCGGAGGTTGCTGTGAGCTGAGATGACACTGCTGCACTTTAGCCTGGGCAGCAGAGCGAGACTCCTTCTCAAAAAAAAAAAAAAAAAAAAAAAATCAACAAAAGCAATATAATTCAATATAAAAACATTAAATAATATGCTATTTTGTTTGAAACCACAGTTGATTTGATTGTCTTAATTTTGAATATGTTAGAACATTACTTGGGTGACTGTCATGATCACTTTTTGTTTTTGAGACAAGTTCTCACTCTGTAGTACAGGGTATAATGCTTAATTATAGCTCACTGAAGTTGAACTCCTGGGCTCAAGAGAGCCTCTTGCCTCAGTCTCATGAGAAGCTAGGTCTATAGGCATGTGTTACCACCCTTGGTTAATTTTTTTAGAAAAGCAACATGATTGTGATTCCTGGCTAATTTTTTAATTTTTAATTTTTATTTTTGTAGCAATGGAGTTTCTCTATGTTGCCCAGGCTGGTCTCCTACTCCTGAGCTCAATTAATTCTCCTGCCTTGGCCTCCCAGTGTGCTGGGATTACAGGCATGGAATTACATGCCTAATCTCTATACCATTTTAATAGGGGAAAAGGACATTTACTGGATAACAGATGACTTGTGGGAAGGATAAATGGTCTCTTAGAATAGATATGATAGTTTTATGATGATGTCTGTTTTGGTGTGGTGTACAAATTTCTTATCTCAAGTGATGAGTCAGATTGACATCTTCCTGGTTGCCTCTGGGAAGTAGATTACGACAATAGAGTTCTTTTGTAAGGCTCTGCTTTAGGCAGATAAGACATTTTAGGAATTCAAATGCCTTCTGCTTAAAATAATTTTTATACAATAGTAGTGTATTCTGGGCCCCTTCACAATCACTAACCCATTATTTTGATGGGCTACTTAGTAATGACTTCAGAATTTAAAAAATTATCCATTTAGTGAAAGTGTCATTATATATTTATTACTACACTTGTTAACTGCTTGCAAATTGATTCATATAAGGTTTTTACATAGTGGAGAGGGATGTCAGAAAAAAATAATTTTCATGTAATAGTTACTCACAATAGGTCTGTGATGCGGACTACCACAAAACAAGTTCTTTTGAGCCGGGCGCGGTGGCTCAAGCCTGTAATCCCAGCACTTTGGGAGGCCGAGGCGGGTGGATCACGAGGTCAAGAGATCGAGACCATCCTGGTCAACATGGTGAAACCCCGTCTCTACTAAAACTACAAAAAAATTAGCTGGGCATGGTGGCACGTGCCTGTAATCCCAGCTACTCAGGAGGCTGAGGCAGGAGAATTGCCTGAACCCAGGAGGCGGAGGTTGCGGTGAGCCGAGATCGCGCCATTGCACTCCAGCCTGGGTAACATGAGTGAAACTCCGTCTCAAAAAAAAAAAAAAAAAAAAAAAAAAAAAAAGTTTTTTTTTAAAAAAAAAAAAAAAAAAAAAAAAAAAGTTCTTTTGTATCTGTCTTCCTGCCAGTTGGCCTTATGACTGACTGCATATTCTTTTTTTTTTTTCTTTTTTTGAGACAGGAGACAGGGTCTTACTTTGTCACACTGGAGTGCAGTGGTGTGAACACAGCTCCCTGCAGCCTTAAACTCCTGTGTTCAGTGATCCTCCTGCCTTGGCCCCCAAGTAGCTGGGACTTAACAGGCATGCGTCACACAGGTATGCGCCACCATGCCCAGCTATTTCTTATATTTTTTATAGAGATGAGGTCTTACTATTGTGTCCAGGCTGGTCTCAAACTCCTGAGCACAAGCTATGTGCCTGCCTTGGCATCTCAAAGTGTTGGGATTATAGGTGTGAGCCACTGTGCCCAGCATATTTTCATCTTTATTGACCTGTCAAATTTTTGCTTATTTTGTATATTTTGACTATATTTGGCTTTCACTTGGCTGCATCTGGCTTGAAGGCACATCTTTAGCATATTAGCTTGTGATAAGATTGTAAATACAGCCAGGCTTGTTTGTTCATGCCTGTAATCCCAGCACTTAAAGTGGCTGTGGCAGGAAGATTACTTGAGTTCAGGAATTTGAGACCAGCCTGGGCAACATAGTGAGCCTCTGTCTCTACAAAAAAAAAAAAAGTTAGCTGGGCATGGTGGCGCACACCTGTAGTCCCAGCTTCTCTGGAGGCTTGGATGGGAGGATCGCTTGAGCCCAGGAGGTCAGGGCTGCAGTGAGCCATGATTGTACCACTGCACTCCAGCTTGGACAACAGAGTGAGATGCTGTCGCAATCAATCAATCAATAAGTAAGTAAATAAATACATAAAATTGTAATACAAATATGAAACTAGGCCAGGAAATCTTGTGGCAACATTAGGCTGTGAGATGGCCTATTTTCATCCAAATGACCCAAAATATGCTTATAAATTAATTTTTTACAAATATTTTTATTTATTCAAACATTTCTATATTCCCTCTGCTACTTTTAGTCCATCTTTTTTTTTTTTTT